AAACATTTTACAGTGTGTATGTGAACAGGTTGGAAAGACTGGTGATTTTTATGAATGAGAAAGAATATTCTATAGGCGATAATAGTGCGAACTCTCGATAAGAACGCTCGGCGGAAACGTAAATCAAGAAATTCCGTGTTCGAATCCCACTTGTAGTAAAATGCTTGCAGTCTTCAAAATATTTTAATTTTCTCTACATGTGATAAAGAGAAGGCACTGAAAGAATATTTATAATCCGGGAGAGATCAAAAATTTTTTTTGATCAGTTTTTCGGTCTGTTATACTTAAATTGGAAAAGATAAAAAAATAGCATCTATGATTGGATATTATATTATGGTATGGTGTGTTATAAATGGGTCCCATTTTATCCTAATCTATGGCAAATATTAAACTCTCGGATTAAAGTCCCCACCTCTAAGCTTTTCATTATCCAAAAAAAAAAAAAAAAAAAAAAAAAAATTCGGGTGCAAGTTACCACACCACATGTTAGCTACTTTGTTTAAAAAGATAGCCAAATAATCGATATTTATCGAAGTCTTCGAACTTTATCCGTGTATCAAAATTTAAAATACAAAATACAAGACTATAAAAAGCAATTTAAAATACAAATTTTAATTATTAAATAAGGTTATGTCACATTGCTGTTGTTTTTCCCCGTGTGCAGAGCAATCTGTTTTCGCTAGCAAAATATCAGAGATTTGCACTCTCATTATCCCGCTGTAACAAATAGCATTCGAAAACAGACAACACTTTATGGAGAGAGAAAAATCTCATAATTCCATTGAATCGGGTTATCAAAAAGTAAGTCGATCAAATTAAAATTGTTGTCTAACAATGAAATCCACAAATTTGGGGTCCTACTGTTTAGACAATTAGTCCTACTGATAGACTTTCTATCAGCATACCTCTTTTTTTTTTTTTTTTTTAATTGCTTCAAATATATTTTCTTTGTTCTTTCTAATCATCATGTGCATATTTAAAGCAGTTCATATCATAATAATATATCTGTGTTTCTGGAAAGTTTTGCTCTTTCTAATCATCATGTGCATATTTAAAGCAGTTCATGTCATAATAATATATCTGCGTTTCTGGAAAGTTTAACATGGATTTCATTTTATTCCTTGCGCTAATAGTGAAACATTGCAATTAAATTTTTAGTACATCAATATCTTAATGTTTAGGCTCTAGGAACGTGTAGCTTAGTCTGCCACTTTTCATGTTATGTTACACTACACTGCTAATCACTACACACTAATAACACGGCATTAATCATTTATGAGGCATGGCAAATAGTCAATCCTAAGAGTTGTAGCAATTCTTGAATGAACTGAACGATTTAAATATTGTCGTGTAATACATGATTTATTAATTTATATTTTATTAATTTATATTTCCTGATAACCTATATATACAGCTAAGAGAGATAATGTTTTTGGTTCAAAAATTCGATTGTAAGTCTTCAAAGCACGAATTAGAGTCCCCACAACACGTCTTTACTGTTTTAAGAATGATGTCGTCTTTACGTGTGCCATGATTTTTTCGTCCGCTGTAATTCTATAACTCACATGTCAAATTTCCATTTTCCGTATTTAATCTTTTTACATTCATATAAAGTATCAAATTAGACAACGGGAAGTGGTACTTTGCAGTAAGTTCATAAGACAATAACAGTTTTTAATGAAAATCTTCGTTAATATATAATCCAGAACTTTCCAGCTGTTTTTTCTTTTTAAATAAATAATAACAACATATTATATTTTGTCTAAAATTGCTAAATTGGAAGTGATGTTTTACTTGAAGTTCCGAACAAACTTTCCTAAAAAATATCTATTACGAGGTAATCCAAAACTTCTCAAATTTGGTATTTAAAATAGGTTTGTGATTAAGAATAATATATTGCATTTATAAGCATTAAATGTATTCTTGAAATTATGCTCAGAGCAACCAGAATAAGCTCCGTATAAGACGAGCTCTGGTTATGAAGATTTCCCTTTTTATGTCGAATCACTTTTCAAGTAAAAAGATATGCCGTTATTAAAATTTTCGTGATTGTTAAGTCATTGAATTAGGAATCTGAAACAATATATGACCAGAGGGTATATTACGATCGATGCGATATTTTTAAATCAAAGCATGAGAACTAATGTATGCATAAGCACATATAGTATCATTGTCAGCTGTAAGGAATAACAAGCCAAAAATGAATAGTGATTACAGTTAACAACGAACCACAAAGTTTATAAAGAAATTAGGTTTTATTTACAAATGATCAAACAGAAGTGGTAGTTTACTTAAAGTTCGTCGATATTCATTTCTTAATATGGAAATAGCGGAAGATGCTGGACATATCAGATTTTTTAATAATATGCTTTATTGATCATTTTTATGACTCAAGCGAATTGCGCATATGTGCACTGCATTATGAAAGAACTATAAGAATTTAGGCTTCAGATAAATACAAGCATAAAAACGGGGTCATTTTGAACGTTTTATACAACAGGTTACAATAAACCTGATTTTCCGGACTAGCATTGCACTAAAACACGAGCAATAATTTCGTGACGTTTGTTTTTGATTTGAATCTTAATGCTTAGTATAAATATTTTTTGGCTTATTAATAATACAATTGTTAGCATTCAGCACAGAATAAGATTATTAGTCAGTTGTGGTAACAGAATTTTTCTGTTTTCTGTGTCTAATGTAAAACAGAAATTATGTAATATATATTTATTAAATATATTTACAAAATTCATTACTCATTTAAAAAAAACATTTCTATCATTTCAAAAAAATATAGATATGATCAGCAGACGATTGTTTGTCTTTTCGAAAGAATTAATTTGAAAACCTTTAATTTCAATATAATCATTCTTTTAAGCACTTATAAGAATTTCATTTTACTTTTGGGCTGTAAAACAGAGATTGCTTGCTTATTCAAATCAATTGAATTAAATGCTTTTCATCCTTTTCCATTTATTTCTCTAGAGCGAGAATCTAGATGAGAAAGCGAAGCGCCAACAGATGGAGCAGCTGGTCAGAGAGGAGCTGCAGCGTTGGGATTCGGATCAGTCGCTCAACATGCACAGATAAGGTGAGCTTTCGCTTGAATTGTTAATTTTTTGGCGGGCCTTTGCACTTATCTGCGGCTCATATAATAACTTTCATGTGTAATACATGAATGCCCCATTTATAACACAAATACGATAAAAATCGCTTCCATGATTCATGTGCTTAAGGACACAATGCAATATTTTAATATTTTACATCCGTAGCTTCACAGGAACATCGTCGTTGTTGAACAACAACTTACCTGACGCCCTTCAGAGATCAGCGCCCCAAGCGGCTGCCTGTGCTTAAAGCTGAGCCTGTAACTATTAATGCCGAAAACATAATCTTACATTAACTTTAAAGCAAACTTTTTAAATAGTGCAATTTAGTAACTTGATAGAATGTTTTTAAAACGGTAATATATTTTACTTTATTTAAAAAGTTATAATTTTCTTATAACTAAGCAATTGAACAACTGTCGCCGTTATTGTAATAATTTGTACTGTCTTAAGCGATATTGGATTAGACGTAAAAATAATTATGGATATTAATTTAATTTTATGATGTTTTCAAAATAAATAATGTTTTGTTTTAGGGTGATCTGGACTATTTTTCCTTTCAAGAACCCGCACGATTCGTTTTAGCTGTCACGTTGCACACGAGGATATCTTTCTGACCCGTTGCACGAATCGCAAGAATGATGAAGACGTTCCTTTTCTCACAGAAATGAATCTCTATTTTACCATCTTGTTTCTTGTACGAGTGTCTGCAGGATCTTAACAGCGGATATCAAGAACTAAAGAAATGCACACCTTCTAATGATGTGAATCAATGGAACTCATGTAGATATTTATTGCACAATTAATTTTACACGTATTTTTAAATATATTATGAAATCCTAAGTTCTGCAATTTGTCCAGCAATAATGCATATTTCAGTTATTGTCGAGATGATTCAGAATGCCGATTTTTAATGTGCAATAAAATTTGTGCTTGGGACACAAATTAAATAATCATCAGTTATTTGATTATATAATCGGTCACCGCGTTAAAAGATTTTAAACTGAGCCAGATGAATAAATATTACACAACATCACTAATTTATTACATCATGTAGTGTTTCAAGTTTCTGTAAGCGAAACTTCACTTGAAGCAGACAGAAGTACAATTGTATTATGCTACTACATTGTTTCTGTATCCGTGATGTAGTAATTTATTATTTTCAGATTTGTATATAGTGTACAGATAATGAAAATCTTAGATGTCCAAATAAAATTATATTCGTCAAGAGTTTGTCTTCGTTTCATTCATTTATAATGCATCAAATTTTTATTTTACTTACCTTGCCCCTCTTTTTTTTTATTTTACTTACCTCTGCCTCTTACCTTGCCTCTTACAAACCTTGCCCCTCTTTATTCTTACATGTGAGATATTCGATATAAGAATTCGTTTGTACAATTCCTGGAACACCTGTATTCATTTTAGAGATTCATAAGAAAAGAAAATAATTACGTTTTCCTATTTATTATATTTCTGGACTATGTATCAATATTTTACAAATAAACGTATGTAATATTGAGTATATTATCTCCTTATATAAAGTTAGTAGAATTGTATTTGAATTAGCCCAGAAGTATTTAAAACTGAATCCCGAAAAAAAATTTTAAAAGGAAATTTCAATTTTAATCGTGAAAAATAGAAATGGAAATTTTTAAATTGAAAATTAACTAATAAACTAAGTAATTATCGTCATTGATCGGAAATTGGTCGACTTTTCAAGGGGAACAAACCAACTCCCGTTCAATTAACAATAATTAATAAATGCGAAGGCGTTTCGTCTTTTACTTAAGTAAGAAGTATGATGTCAAACTGGAAAGTTGAGTTTAAGTCAAACTTGTAAGTTGAGTTTAATCCGATTAGCGAGATTAAAGTTATATGAATTAAAATGAAGGACTATAGAATTCATTATGAATGTAGCAGTTCCGTTAAGCTTATGAATTTTTTATATAAATCTTGAGATATTATTATGACCAAATTGAGTGGTAGTAAATATTATATTAATATTCTGAGTCTCATTGAGGTAGTTCAGTAACAGGCGTCCTTATTTGTTTTGTCAATCCGCTGATCGAAAATGGGTTCCAGCCAAGGAATTTCCGCAGGACGGGATGTGTATAATTCAGAATAAGGCAAAGAAACTGTTATCTGCTATCAGGCATCCATTGGTTTCGGACGAACAATTGTTTCAAACAATTTTCCTATCTATTTTACTATTCAAAGAAAGATGCACTATTTTTTCCTTCCTTTGTATCTTTCGGGGGGGATTATAAGTTATTATAAGTTGTTCTTTTTCAACAACCAGTTAGGCATCAACATCCAATCCCCCATCGACAACCATTATGTGTAATGGAGCAGTCGTTTATCCTTTACATGGTAACTTCAAAGTATTCCGTGGTGATTGGCTGTTTTATATATTATGTGACAAAGCAGAAAAATTGCACTAAACAGTTCTTCTTCCGAAATGTTTAGAACGTGTGATACGTCTGGGTGGCCGCAGTCGACCATTCTTCGTGGAAGAGTAAAAAGTAAATTCCCGAGCGAGTTGTTCCTTATACAGATAGCGGCTTTGTCGGCTACCATATCTCAGATGCCCTTGATAGAGCTGCCATAGAGGTAGGAAAGGGTTATTCTTATTAGTTCTTATTAGAGAGTTATTCTTACCTCCATTATAGCCTCCGTTTCTCTCTGCTCTTTGAAGGAGCCACCCAAGCTTCGAAAAAACATTCGTTCTTAACACGCATATTCTTTGTAATCACTCCATTTCACTCTTACCTGCATGTAAGAGTCGCGCGTAGTAATTCTGAAAGAACTAACAAGAGGTTTGGCCGAAGAAATTAGATATATATTTCGATCCTTGGTGTAAAGTCGAGCTTAGGACTGTAGTTAAAACGAAATTCTAATATAAAAGTAAGTAGCTTGTGGAGTTTTATTTAATTTAATTAACAGTTCATTTTATTTTGAAGCAAGCTTTTCTATTGCTGTGGTTTTCAACCCACGCTTTCTTGCCTGAATGAGATTTCAATTTCGCACATTATGCAAAGCAAATAGAAAGATACTATTTAAGCTGGTGTCTGAGTTACTTCAGACACAGCGTGTTTCTGCCTTTCGGCCACGTTGTGTCTCTGCTATTTTACGGCCGGGAAAATTAATTGCCAGTTAGTCTATGTCAGTGGTAGGGCCACGAGCCAACTTCGCGTTAAACATCTTTGTGCAGCTTCGCTTGATTATTTCACTTAGGCTTAGTTTTAGATTTTACATTTCTATTTTGAGTGTCAGCTGTAAATACTTTTCTTGAGTTGAATAAAAGGGTCTTTTCACCCTTTCCACGGGTTGTTACTGATACATTTGAACATAACAAATAGTCACTTTGCAGTTCAGGTAAAGATCTAGCCAACAAAAGGAACTTTAGTTAGAATCTTACAAGCTTAATGTATATTTGCACAATAAGCGGTTGGTTTCAATGTGTTATTGTTTTAGGCTTTGTAACACCCGCCAGGAATCGCAAAATAATGATTTGTATCTTTTGTGTTCATAGTTTTGTAGTTACAGGAAGATAACTTGCTAAACATTGGATTAACTACTGAGGGTTGCATTTATGTTAAGAGCAAGTTTTACGTTATTTTGCATAGCAATTATAAATTGACACGAAGAATTTGTAGAGTCATTAGGTTACTTGAAGCAGGAGACAAAAAAATGAGCAATGCCCTAGCGGGACTTGAAACCCTAGACCTCTCGAATACGCGCCGAGTATTCTAACCATTACACCACGAAGGTATGGGGAGGGGAAAGGAGGAAGAAAATTCCCCTTTTTAAAAGGGGATGAAGAATCGTTATCCACCACTTTTTAGTTTGGACGCCACTGTAGAGTCGTTAGGTTATTTTCGAAGCAGGAGATATGAAAAATGTGCAGTTCTCTCGCCGGGACTCGAACCCTGGACCTCTCGAATGTGCTAACCATTCATCATGAAGGCATGCGGAAAGGAGGGAGAAAATACCTTATAAATTCAATCTCTCATAACTGGAGTTTTCTTTATTCATCTGCATACGTGAAATACACTGTTGTTCTTTAAAATAATCAAAGAAATTTTATGTCGAACTCTTTTGAGGTTGCATTCAAAACATACTGAAAACTGAGAGCGATTAGTATATTTAAGTTCCGAGATCGTGATGATTCTGTGAGTATTTTAATTCATAAAAATATATATATTGTAATAAGTTCTTTTTGTCTATTGTCATTACTGTTGGACATTTTAATTTTTTCCCGCGGAATGGGGAGTGCATATCTGTATAGAGAATATGTAGCTTATTTCAAGTTAAAACTTTTGGCACAATTCATTTCTAAATCATTTTTACTGATAAATGCTACACATTCGAGAGAGACAGGTAAGGTCTTTCTTCTACAAGGAACTAAAATATTTTGCTTGTAGATCTGAAACATTATTTAAATGGGCGAAAGGTAATTTTAAAAAGAAGCAATAAATTATAGCACCATTATAAGTATAGAACTTATAGAGTCTTTCTCTCTTGTTCCACATTAACTAGAATAGACCCTATAATGACCTGGCGAATTCTTGCACAGGCGTGAATTTAACTACTGACTCAGACTAGGGGTAAAAATAACCCTTTATTAATTCAAAATAGTTAACAGAAAGGCACGGTCTTCGTGCGTTACAAAAGCACCGTCAACTTGCGGTGGAAACTAAACATAGAATATAATGTAAGTCAAATCTGAAATAAATAGTGCAGGATAGCACTTAAGGTACGCCTAAGAGGTGAACTCACAAGAACCTAACCGGCGTGAGGTTAAATCTGATAAGGCCAAAAGGCTTACTAGCGTCAACCAAACGTGCGCTTGGCCAGCGAAACGCGCTCTGAAAAACTCAGATATTTACCCGTTTAAATATGCACTTCACTGAACTTTAAATTGACATCCTGGCGAGAGAATGTGAGGGGAAGTTGAGAAGTCTAAAATAGGTATCAAACTTAAAATACATTTGTTATGGTAAATAAGGAAAACCCTACATTTTCCCTTGTCAGAATTTAACTATCGCATAACAAGGCTTTAAAAGCCTGGATAAGATAGCTAAATTCTAAATCTACATTAAGTTCACCTTTACAATCTTAATCTACATCTTTAAATTTGAGGTTTTATAGATAGCCAATATGGCACATACTTACAATCTTCTTTAGCATTTCTTATTCTGTCTCCTTGAAGATTTGCTTGGTGTATTCGGACATCCTTTTCTATACGAAGTCTTCCCAGGAAGGAACTTTGCTTCAACTGCCTGACTCGGATTCTCTGCCGAGGCTGGCCGTTCCCATTGCTCCGTGTCGCCGGCTGTTTCTGTTTGATACGTCTATCCCAAGCTACTTTCCTTCGTCGTTGATCCACTTCTGCGTTCGTTCTCTACCGGGGCTGGCCGTTCCCATTGCTCCCTATCGCCGGTTGTTTTCCTTTGACACCTATGTCCCAAGTTATTTTCTTTTGGCATATATCCACTTCTGCGTGCGCTGGACACTTGCCGGCTGCCGCCGAAGATCCTCCTTGGAGTTACCGGAGAATTTTTGGCTGTACCTCCGTGGGATTCCTTCTAACGGCTCCTCTTCTAATGGACGTTTCCTCTGTGGAACTTGAGTTGCTAACTTATTCTTGCCTTTACTCCTTACTGGCTGGCCTCGTGAGTTCTGACATCTCGGTTGCTTTTTCCTCCCCATTTATCTGCTTGTCGATCTTGTGGGGGGGTACAGTTTTACCTTCTTTTCTCAGAGCCTTATTTCTCTTTTGGGGTGTTTCCATTTTTCGCTTATTCATACGGTTAGGCTCTTGAAGTCGAAGCTTCTTTCCATCCGGCTGTAAGACTCTATCTTCTTTCCTTTTCGTTTCTGGGAGAACGATTTGTGCTGCTGAGTACCCTTTCCCTGTGTTTGAAGTTTCCTGTAAAATATCTTTAAAAATAGGCATCTCGTTACGATCATAGTATTTTTTCACTTGATCCACATTGGCAGTGACATTGCCTTCTTTACCTCCTTTTAAATATAAAACTGATCCACAAATACGTTCAATCACGTAGAAGCCTTCAAATCTGGGGGAAAATTTTGACACTTTCGCGAGTGGGGACCAAAACAATGCATGTTTCCTTTTCAATACTTTGTCGCCAGTTTTAAGGTTAAAGTCCCTTCTTTTCTTATACAACTGTTGTTTTTCTCCGGTACATCTGAATTTTTGATTGCAT